TTCGTAAATGAATGTCTCCAAGTTATTGACACTATCGATCATTAAAATGATACACCTGAAGACGTCACTATTCCCACAGACAATATATTAACCATTCAGTCTCCACACATTGTTGTAGCACCCCGGTCTTTGGAACCTCATATCGTGGAGGCGAGGGAGATTCTTCAGACTCCGCTTGCCCTTGAACCTATCATTGATGTTACAAGTGAAAATACCTCTGTTGTTCACTACCGCCTGATCAAGTCTAGAAAGTTGTCAATGCTACTTAAACTCAGGAGGACCTTGATGTGCAACGTTGTTCACTACCGCCTGATCAAGTCTAGAAAGTTGCCCTTGGGCTTTTTTATAAAAAAAAATTAACCTGGATTCATACATTTTCCTACACCTGTCCAGTCACCTTTGGACCAATCCATTAGTCAGATGAGTCAATCCTCGGATGAGGGAGGATTGACAGGTCTACACATCCAGGAGGAAGAAGAATAAAGACATACTTGAGCTCAGAAATCTGATGGATAATACTTTGGTTACTTCGGGTAATAGTACGCATCTTACCAATTTGTTAGTTGGCTCCCTTTCGAGAACTAGAGGTAGAGGAAGAACTAAAGTGAGACGTCCCTAGCATCTTTGCACCTGTTGGTGAATTTTTGATTTTTTTTATCTTTATGTATCTTTGCTTCTTTAGGTTTTTGTGTGTTGTATTGTGTGAGTTGGGTCTTCTTTTAGGCCATCTCATATAACCTATCTGTAACTTTTTTTTTAATATATTAGCCCTTGGGCTTTTTTATAAAAAAAATTAACCTGGATTCATACATTTCCTGCAGATGAGCATCTACAATATGAAAAAATTCTAAATGTGTTTTTGTCAAATTAAAAATCATATGAAAACCTATAGGAGATTATTTTTCTTAAATGAGAACAAGATTATTTCACGGGACTTGACAAAGTAGCCCTACGAAGAGTGCTCACATGTTCGTCTCGAGCTCGCCACCTCGTATAGATAGCCTGAGGCTTGTAGACAACATAACATTTCATAAAATTTGGCTCAAAACATGCATTTATCCAAAAATGTACTTGCGCAAAGATACCTCAAAAGGGTTTTTCAAATTTTGTGCTAAAACTCATAGGGAAGCTTTTAAAGTTCACCTCTGATGGCTGTTGGAAACAAGAAAGCACAAAATATGAGTAAACTTTAATGTGGAAGTGTTGGGATCGTGCTCTAGGGCTTCAAGGCTTAGCTACAATACTCGATTGTGGGTACTCCCGAGGTGAGAGAAACCGAGAGAACAAAGTGGGCAGTGAGACGCGACATTTAAGAAAATCCTAAAGAATTCCTCGTCGTTCGATCTCTTCCAATCGACACATGCTCTAGTAAGCGTTGAAGGAGTCGGTGGCTATAGTTCCCATGCGGGAAATTAAGAAAAAATTAGGAGGTATCGAGTTAACCGTCTATATTCTCCTTGATTAATGAAAAATTAGGAGGTGTCGGGCTAATCGTATGTATTCTCATTGGTTAATTCCAAGCTCCGAGCAGGGTGTGATAGGTGCGATGTGGTTTTGATGGAAGATCGTAAAAATGAGTAAAAATTTTAAAATTCAAATCTATGAAATAAAGTTAAAATTGAACCAATCTAAAACTAAATATTGAAAAAGTAAAACTTTTGCATTTTGTAATCACTTATAATTAAATTAAATTTATTTTAAGAAATTAATGCTACCAATTATTTAATTTAAATTTGAAACTTAGTTAAACCATCGTTTTTAAGATCAATATAACTCAACATATTGAGGTCATCTTAAAGTAAACCCTGTGACCATCATCTTGACTAAACCTTAAAGCCCAAAAGCCTAAGCCCACAACCTATTAAGAGGTTACATGAAATAAAGTAAATGAAAATAGGCTCCCATCTAAACATTAGCCAAGCACTAGAAGAAAAAGCTCATCAAGATAACATCCAACATTTTTGGCATCCCTAGCCCCACACTTGAAATCTTGTCCAAGGGAATCAAATTCCACAAAATTTGAGCCCAACCACTTAGAGCAAGCTATCCCTTTCTTTTCCCCTCCATGATTATTGGATCTCTGATGCCCGAAATTCAAAGAGGAAGCCCCTGTTTCTCTTCATAAAGTTGTTGTCTGGCTCTTTCCAATGCCTCCAGAGTATTCTTTGACCATCCTTAAGCTCTGCCTAAGCTTTTCATAGCCGCGATAGCCATTATAAGGCCAAACCCGAGACTTGCTCAAGTGATCAAAACTTTCTATTCCCTTAGTGAACATTTGAAATTCTTACTCCCAAGCACTCTGCAAAGAACAATTACTCGTTCCCACCATTTTCATACCTTCGTCACTACCAGAGAATCCTAATTTCGCACCAAGACATTTTACGATCTTAGCTTTAAACATCTCAAAGTTAAAATTGGCCCTTCCATTTGCTCCACAGAGGTTCAAAATCACTTCCCAAATCAAAACCCTCAATTTTCACAACCAGCATCCCCATCCAACACCAACTTGAACCACCTTTCAATTATTCTTGCAGGAGAAGAGGGAGCTTCAAATTGACACCTCAAAGAGCTTCATTGTCTCAAGTCGGTCGTCTTTGTTAAACCCAATCGAGGCCTCACCACTTCAATTAAGGTGATGACTAGAAACTTAGAAATTTTGTTTGTTTTTGGTCTTTTATGAAAAGAATTTGCAAATCCGTTTGTATCTAGCTGTGAAAATGTGTTCACTAGGGTTAGTTAATGATGGATTAGGACGAATTTAGAGCTGTGGGCCGACTACAACAAGCAAAGAAGTGTGGACGGTCATTGTTCATCGTTCTTGTGAGGTGGATGAACCGATGTCGTCAATTCCCATGTATTTGAAGCTAATAGTGATGATTAGACTGTATGGAAAAACTGTGGAGGAACGGAGAGTTTGATTGAGGCCACCTTAGCATACTCGAGGAAAGCGTGGACAATTACGTGATGACCCACGAGCATGCACCTTAGCATACTCGAGGAAAGCGTGGACAATTACTGGGCGAAATCTCATCCAGGAGGAAAGCGTGGACAATTACTGGACAATTACTGGACAGGTCTACACATCCAGGAGGAAAAATAGTGATGGTTAGATATGCTACAGATGACGGGGCGCCGTATTGGATAATTAAAAAAATTGTGATTTAATTTAATCCCAAAAAATCCAAATAATTTTAAAAATTCGCACTCTTTAGGCATTATAAGGCATTGTTACTTTAGATGTTATGGTAGTAAATATATTGTGTTGTGTTTGGTCGCTAGATGCTTGCTAGGGCGAGTAGATGGTTCGCTATTGCATTAGGTTGTGATAGATTTTTATTTGTATGTTTCTTGGCTGCCATAGTTAACTTAGGATGTGTTAACTCTGTTTTGTTGGGATTGTTGTAGTTTAAACTACTGAGCTGCTGTAGTAACCTACGGTTTTCTTTAGTTGTGTCATTTTTTTTACAGATAGGGTGATTTTAGTTGGTTTACTATCAATGTCTGAATCATTCAAAAGAGAATGACCACCGAAGCGGCATATAGACCTCAACTAAACTTACCAAGGTGCTTCAGATCATGTACTCCGATTTGTCTGAAATTGGTTTTGGATTGACTCCCATCTATTGGTCTTTGTCTTGTGCTTTGCTCGATACATCTGCCCCCTTCATTTTAGGTCGTTTACTTTTTTGTGCATGCATGGATTGCCAGTAGGCTTACTAAGGACTAAATTCTGTACCCAAATTAAAAAATTACACTTAACTTTTCGAAATTAATGAAACTCATAACTAAACCCAAAATTGCTTAAAATACTTTATTCATAACTCTATCAAATATCATGGAATTAAAACAACCAAATTGACATTAACTAAAATTGAGCAGATACCTCTTTATGATTTATTAATGACCACAAAATATCACCGTATGGCAAAAGATGCTTCGGACAATGTACATCAATTAGTCTGAAATTGGTTTGGGATTGGCACCCATATGTTGGTTTTTGTCCTTTGCTTTGCTAGATACCTCTTTTTTTGCCTTTGCGTGGATTGCTAGTAGGCTTAATATGGACTAAATTTTATACCCAAATTAAGTAATTTCAACTTAAGTTTTTGAAATTAATGACTAAATTTTATACCCAAATTAAGTAATTTCAACTTAACTTTTCAAAATTAATGAAACTCATTACTAAACTCGAAGTTGCTTAAAATACTTTATTCATAACTCTTTAAGATATCATGGAATTAAAACAACCAAATTGACATTAACTAAAATTGAGCCGATACCTCCTCACAACGATCCTCACTATCTTTGATGTCTTACTTTTCTTCCCTTGGGTTATGTTAATAACTTTTCCTCTTTTTGAGTCTTTCCTGTTTGAGATTTTTTATTATCATTCGTGGAATCCTAAACTTAAAGTTTTCTTGAAGTTTAAACCTCAACTAACATTATAAGTTTTCTGAAATGACTTTTACCGCTTAAGATTTATTTAACCATAAGGGCAAGCCCTTATAGGAATTTTCCAACCCATATTTTATCTAAATCTTGTGTATTTTTCAGATTAGATTGGGGAAAGTTTTGTTGGTTTAATCGTAAACCTTGCAAATTGGACTCATTGTAATGTGATATTTCTTTCTTTGAGGGCGGCATATTTGTTTTGATGATATGTTTAATTATTTAAATAAGTAAATCTTTGAATTTGTACGATATTCAAAAATTCTTTGTCAAAAAATAAAACCTACACGGTACAACATAGATTTCATTCCCGGCTGTGATGACTGATAACCTTCCCAAGATTGCATAATACTTTTTCTTTTGCCTTTTGTTTTGTATTAAATTTATTTGTTCCAAAAATAGTTTCATATCTCTGGATGTTGTTTTAAAATTTTTTAAAAGTGTGCTGTAACTTATCTTAGATGTTGCTATCTATGGATTTTCTTGAATCATGAAGCTTAATCACTCCGTTTGTCATGTAAAAATGAACTCAATTATTTTTTTGTTCGCAGACTGGTATGTGATGATATTAGTGGAGGGCAAGAAAATTTTCCTATCCCTGCCACGAATGTTGTTGATGATCCTCCTTTTCCTCCTTCAGGTGAGTTTCATTACATTACCTCTTTTTTTTTTATTAAAAACTCACTTGAATGTTTCTAATTAATAATTTTGTACTACCAATATTTAGAATGGTTAACATGTTTTTTGCATTTGATTGTTTCCGTAATTTTGTTAATTTTCACTGTTTATTTATTTATTTATTTTGGTGTACTTCTTTAACCTATTTGGTATAGAGCAACATTGTTTTTACAGAATCTTTGCTGCGTCTTTCATCATAATTTCTTCTTCTTGCTTTGACAGCCCCCATTTTGGGGGCACTGTCCCACAAATTTTTTTGGCGTAGTTCTTTTTTTTTTCTTGCCTCATTGTCAGTTGTTTGTAGGGTTTGCTTGGTATGATGTTGTGTGGCTTTCATCTCTTGCTTTGCGCCCTTACATGGGGCATTGTTGTTGGTCCTTTGCTTGCATGTTGTCTCGTGTTGTCCTTGGCTATAGCGGTATACTTTTTCCGATGAAGTAAAATGGTGGAATTGGGAGTTGAGACATTCTGCTTTGACAAAGCAAGGTGTAAATTAAATTAGTTTTTGATATAGTTTTATTTGCTATCATAAACGCTTGAGCGACAATTCACAATAAAAATTGTAAGTTTTGGAATGATATTCGTTATTTGTATTTAATTAAAATTTTGGGGAATTTACATACTAGCACCCAATTTTTATGCATTTACTTATTTCTCACCCAATCTTTGATTTTTACATCTAAAGAACCTTTTCCTATGTATGAAAGTTGAAAATAGTGTAATCCACCTCTTAATTCGTATGGAAATTTCCATAAATTGTCATATTGATTTGGTCAAAGATCTTGAAATATCCAAGCTTGAAATGGATTCATAGACAATAATATCATATCAGTTTAGCAATTACTATATTCCTTGTAAAATAAACATGCTGATTGTAAAAAGCCGTTGAACTCTAGGAGTTTATGAATGTATCATTGAAACATATGAGTATGCTAAGTTTGTGGTAACATTAGTCTGATGACAGAAACCATAATGTTTGATGACAACTTTTTTTTTTTGCTCACATATACGGCATTCTAATTTAGAGAAACTCTTCTTATAATAAAAAATTATAACTTAAGTTTTGTATTCAACTACTTAGTGAATAATTATATTTCTACAGTGTACTAATATTTTATGCTTGTGTTTTAAGATGTGGTTAAAAAATGATAAAACATTAAAATTTTATTTTATGAAAACATTTGAATAATTTTGTTTAATATTTGTTAAATTATTTGTGTTAAGAAGTAACCTTAGGAGTTTGCACTTATTTTCATTTTTATTTTTTTAAAATTATTTACATTTTGTTAAGAAATTCTTTTGTGGCTGACTTTTCCTTATACTTTATTTTTTGGTATGATTCTAATGCAGGGCCAATAAAGAGAATTATGCTATAATTTTAATGTGTTCATGTTGAATTTAAACTTTAAATAAGATTATGAATGCTTGTGATTAACGCTTGTTTTTTAAACAATCAAGTCTAATATGATTCTAATTAATTTAAGAAATGACTTTATATTTATTAATGCTTGCACTACAGTTTCACTAAACGATTTTGACAGAAGTTCGATTGATTCAATGCTCATCCATATTTGTGGCAACCAAATCGAGTTCGGAATGTCGAAAATGCATTCAAAATGAAATTTTCTCGAAACTCACTCCTGCTGCATCGATCATGTAGTTGTGTGTTAAATGGAAGATAATGTTGGTTGAGACCCCTCCATTGCAATTTAGCAAACGTTATCTATTCATTAGTTGACTCAGTTGAGTCTTTCATTATTTACATGTTAGAGTCACTCATATTGCTATATTCATTGCATGAAATCAAAATATAAAAAATATTTTCATGCTTTTGGCGATAACTTGCGCTTAGTTTGAGGAAGTAATGATAATGTATACCCAAATAGTTTTATTTTTACATATTGAAATTTAGTATTCATATTTGAAAACTAATCCTTGCGAAATCTCTTGAAATTTGGTGCCAACGAAATGTGTATAAAG